AGGGCCGGTACTTTCAGTCTAGATTAAATACACCGTTAACTAATCGATCTATAAATTAATCCCAGTAAACTAACTGAAGTTTAAAGGATATTGGGTACTTTACGGTTTTTTCAAACACTAGGTTAGGTAAACTGGGTTTGAATTAGGATAGTAGGAAAGACGTACGTCGTACACAAATTTTAAATTTTATGTTATGATGCATGTCATATGTCATACATTCCTTGTCAAATCTACGATTTTTTAATTACTTTTGCGGTGTGTGTTGAGCTATAAAATGGATAACAAGAAAAAAAGGAGAACAAACTTTACTTAAGGACCCTATTCAGATTGCAAGAAGAAGAACAAAAAATAAAAATAGAAATATTGAAATCCGAACTGAATATGAAACTTAAACAAAGTTTGGGGCTATCTTAATTCTCATTAATAATAAATTATACACAAATCACGTGTTACTTTTGTGATAAGTAAATTATAATATAGTAATGTTAAGGGTTACATCACGTTATTATTAGCCGTTTTTAAACCGAATCTGGTATAAGATACATATTTAATTTTTGGTAAATAAATTTTTCAAATTGACGTCTTATTTCATAGACAATATGTATAACAGTGATTGGATAACCACAAAGTAATACTTATAAAACAAAAACAGAAACACATATTTATTATACATCTAATGGTTTAATTAACAAGAAAAATAGCAAATATAAATAACTTAAGGTAGTGTTGCAAAATAATTTAAGTATTGCTGTTGAATTATATTAAAATTTCTTCGTGGTGGTTGAGCACGAGGTTCTTCTTCAAAGATTTCTTCAATTTCCTCATATGGAGCATGTATTTGTATTTCTCTGTTTTGTGTTGCAATATTGTGTAAAATACCCGTAGCTATAATTATTTGTTGTGCTAGAGGAATAGAACATCGAATGCCTAAACTTAAAATGGGAAATCTTCCATTCCATATGCCAAAAGTTCTCTCAACAACTGTTCGTGTTGATATATGTGAGGAATTATATTTTTGTTCAGCTCGTGTATGAACTTCTGCTAATGGTGTCATAAGATAGTCACGTAGTGGATACCCACTATCCCCTAACAATACAGCATTACCAAAATCACCATATTCAAATCTTCTTCGTATAATGGAATTTTGAAAGATATTACTATCATGACTTGACCCTGGCCATCTTGCCACTATGTCCATTATCATGTTATTGCTATCAGATACTACCTGTACATTAATGGAGAAGAAGTTCTTTCTGTTCCGAAAAAACTCTGCATTATCTCCCCCTGAAATAAAATAAAAGTACAATTAAAATATAACTTAGGATATGTATATATATCGAAATTACCTGGAGATTGTATTCTTATATGGGTACAATCAATTGCACCTAATACTCGAGGAAACCGTGCCAATTGATAAAAACCTTGCTTCTTTATTCTCATTTCGTCCTCATTTCGTGGAAATTTTATATAATTAGGGCGTAAAGATACCAGTGCTTCTGTAACTCTTCTGATTATTCTACCTGCAGTTGTCTTGTAAACTCCTACAAAATCCCCTACAGTTATATAGAAGCTGCCAGTAGCATAGTATCTCAGAGTAAGTAAAAGCTGGTCCATAGCATCGATTTCATGATACCTACAATTGAAATAAAACATAAAAGGTGAAGATATAATATTGTAATAATACATACTGCAATATATTGCCACGGTTCAACATACGTTCTATTGCTGGAAGCAAGATTGTCTTAACAGTGTTTTTGGAAAACCGAAATCTATTAAAAAATTGTTCTTCTGTACACTTTTCAAAATGGTGGATGAGTGTTTTTACTTTATATGTACGCAAATTATTTACGTAGTTTATCATTTCTTCATCGTTATCATCGAATAGCTCCTCCAATTCATTTAAATCCATTATTTTTAAAAACGTCAGTTCTGTCAAAAGTATCAAAACCACGTTAATCAGGCGGTAATCGCGGATAGATGCTCCGATTAAATTTAACTACGTACACGCCCACTTTAACTCCTGGTCAATAGTTGACAGTGTTTGAAAGTAACCGAAACGAAGGGTTAAAGTTTAACCGAGGTTTATATTTATCTTATCTAGACTGAAAGTACCGGCCCTAAATATTACAAAAGGTGTTTATACCCACGGTTATCTAATTGGACTTGTTCTGGACTGGTGCATTCATAGTAAAACCTACTTAAGTGCTACACAAAATATCTACAGGAAGTTTTATCAACAGGTTGGTTATAGAACAAATTTTTCATATCTAACCATTCTCCTGACTACATACGTGGTATTAATAACATCTGAACTTAACTTTTAGATTGGTGCAAGCATATAAGTAGACATGAAATTAAACAAAATGATATAACAAACAAGTGTGTATGTTATACTGACCCCCACCAAAGGATAAAAATAATTGCCCATAGGTTATTATTTTTGAATTGAGCTGTTAATAATAATTATTGATGGTAAGTAAACAAATAAGCTAATAATAATGTATCAAAGTACAAACAAATATTTGCCGAAATATAAGTATACTAAAATTTTATTTTAAAATTGTTATTACATAAATGACTAAAAATTTTTTATTTGTAGAAACTATCCAATTGTTTATGTCGAACGACACTAACTCATAAACAAATGGACTGCAATACTTAAACTAATAGAAAGAGAAAAAGATGAATGGATCCGATTGTATAGACGACCGCTACCCCAACCTACTACCGAACTCTCGCCATGTGAGGAACTTAGTCATTGTATGTCCGCTCACAGGATCAATTTGCGCATTTCCTAGGCGCTAGGAAAGCCTCGTGAGTGACCCTGGCTACAAAATACATTGCCACGACGAAGAGAATCAACAGCAGATCGAAAGCCGCTGCCCCCTACACAAACGTATCGCGAAGAAATAGAAGTTAAAGAGGAAAATCCTTTTAAGAAATTGAGAGTGATTAAATCATCTCCCGAGATGTAGGATGTCACCCCAACACCATATATAGCCGCTAAAATTTGGGTTAACAAAAAAACAAAAATTCCGCTATGAGGGTACTCTTATGTCCAACACGATGATTCGTCCCGCAGGCCGATAACTAAACCGTCAAAATGCTCACAGTAGTGAATCCCACCATAGCGTTGCAAAGCCTCGACTTTAACAACCGGCAAAATTCACCCCCCATGAAACACCCCTCGGATCCAGTCTCACCATTAAAGGTAACCAGTCCGCGGCCGAACCATCCCTGCAAGACGTAAGCCTCTCACCTCAACCTACGCAGTACGACATAATCGTATCAAGTCAAAAACCTTACAACTAACCGCTTAAACTAATTGAGGATGGTCGAAGTTGCGTTAACTCAAGCATCCATTCACCACCAGAGGTAAGCGAATAATATCCTTAACTTTAAATACTATCAATTTAAGCATCTATCTAAGTGCTTTTCACAAAGAACTTAAATCAACAGTATAAAAAAATTCTCGATAAAATCAATTTGAAAATTTTTTGGTGTATTACCGGCAAACACAAGCCTTAATGCATAATAATTACCTCTACTATATACAACTTATCTTAATAGTACTATATACAGAGTGTTGCCTGTAAATATACCAAAATTTCCTTTTACTACCACTTATGTGATATCTAAATCTTACTTGTTACTTAATCTAACTTAATTTCACTAGTGTTTCGCAAGGGTTTTACTAGCGTCCTACTTGTGTTTTGCTATTGTTTTGGCCAAAACTAACTACATTACTTTACAACTATCTGTACAAAATTTTATACCCACTACTACCAAAAATCTATCTAGGAATACTTTAACGGTAGCTTTTTCATTTCAAAAACCCTAGGCAGTTTTTTCAACTCCCACACATGTGAACTTTCGTGATGCTCACATAATTCTAAATATCTCACTAATACCGAGTGATCCAAAAAAACTTTTCCAAAATCACTAATACATCAAAATTTTAACCAAAGGAATGTATTGTATGTACCGTGTAGCTTTTTATATTATTTTACTTATCAAAGACATTAAAATGTTTGCATAAAATAATTTTTCAAGTACAAAATTCAAAAATAAAAAATCTAGAATAGATATTAAATATTCTTGGTAAACAATATACAGGGTGATTCAGGTTTTAAGGCACAAACTGAAATGGGTGATAGATCTTATCATTTTAAGCAAAAAAGTTTATATAAACATTAGTCCGATCTCGATCAGTAGCGGAGCTACAGGGGGTCAAAGTTTATTTATTTTTTTCTATTAATTAAAATATCTCGCTCACTTTTCAAAATATCAATTTAAAATTTGGTGTGGTTAATACTTCCTATAAGGACATCATTTCAAGCATTTTAAAGATTTTTAAAATCTACAGGGTGATACGTTTTTGGGGGTTGAGGCTTCTTTATCCCCCCCAAACTTTTTCGTAGTACGCCTCTGACATCTTCCAGTTAGCAAATTGGGTGGCTAGTTCAATTTAGAGGGTTTTTTTGCTTTTCAATTTTGTTCGAGAAAACAACCGTTTTCGAGATAAATAAGCATATCCGTTCTAAAACATGTTAATTTTGCCTGTTTCGCTTAAATTTTATTCTTGGACAAAATTCGTTAAAAATGCAATAAATTGTACTAAAATTGCAATGTTTTTAAACATGAGTCGAATTTGGATCAGTAGCGGGGATCGATACAGAAGGTAGAGGATCAAGTTGTTTTAAGGTTTTAAAGTTGGTTAAATGGTTCATACATACATTTTACCATTTCGAAAATTTTTAAAATCGTATCATCCTAAAGTTAAGTAAGCTCTTAAAACAAATAACATGTGTTTTTTAAATTTACTTTATGATTTTAAATCCACCCTAAACATTAAAAAAACTTTAAGTTACAGACATAATAAAAGAATATTACTAACGCAAATAATTAAATCTAAATATGTAAACAATAAATGACAAGTAATAATACAGACCTGAAGATAATTACTAATAAAGCTTAGAGTAAGTGTTCAAAATGAGATCCTTCAACCTCTACACACTTCCTACATCGCCGAACTAATGCTGATGTTGCTCTAAATATTTGGTTGCGATCATTCCTCATTTCAATGCAGGCTTGTTGGATGCGAATGATAAGTTCCTCCCTTGTTTGGACTGGTGTCGCGTAGACTTTATCTTTTATAGTACCCCAAAAATAAAAATCCAAGGGATTCAAGTCGGGCGACCTGGGAGGCCAAGCAATATGACCTAATCGACCAATCCAACGACGCGGAAAATTAGTGTTCAGCCACTCTCTAACTACTCTTCCGTAGTGAGCTGGAGCCCCATCCAGTTGTATCCACATTTCTTGCCTAATGTTAAGTGGTACTTCTTCCAGTAACACATTAAAATGATCATTTAAAAAATTAAAAAATAATAAGGAATTTAACCGATTGGGCAGAATGTGCGGTCCACAAACGACATTATTAATTAAGCCACTCCAGATATTTACATGAAATTCATGTTGAAAATCATGCGCACGATTAGCGTGTGGATTTTCGTGAGCCCAAACATGTAAGTTATGGTAATTTACCACACCTCTTCTGGTAAATATGGCTTCATCAGTCCACAATATATGTTTTAAAAACTGTTCGTCATTTTGTACCACTTCTAATAGCCAGTGGCAAAATGCCAATCTTCTTGGTGGGTCCTCTGGTAGTAAACCCTGCACTGGTTGGAAATGGAATGGTTTTCTTAAGTCGGCGTACAAAGTACGCCACACAGTTGACTGAGAAACCTCTAGTTGTATCGCGGCTCTTCGTGTACTTAGGTTTCGATTTACATCAAATAAATGCAAAATATGATTATTTCTTCTGCGTACCTATTCCATTATTGTTAATTCTATCTTGCTCGTGCCTTCCACGTATTCCAAACTCAACAATATTTCTATGTGTGTTTGTAAATACTCTTACACTTGGTATTCTTCTGTGTGGATATCTTCTTCGATATTCACGGACTGCATGACGCGCATTCCCGTTGCAATATCCATATACAAAATGGATATCAGCATTGATTGGTAAATAAGTTGGGCATGTTAGCTAAATTACAAATTACAACGAATATTAAAAAGAAAAACTGGTTAAATTGTTGAAACCTTAAATTTGTTTACTTATGTCACTGTAAAATGTCAAAAGCTTTTTTGTTTTATCAAAGCCTACTTTGACAGAATTAACAATAATGGAATACGCAAAAGAAATAATCACATTCTGCAATTATTATTTGATTATTTAAATGATATTAGATAAGATATTAGACAAGAAATATGGATACAACTGGATGGGGCTTTAACTTATTACGGAAGAATAGTTAACCAGTGGCTTAACACGAATTTTCTGCGTCGCTGGATTGGTCAGTTAAAAGCAACCTTGACCTTCTACCTTCTGTATCCCCGCTACTGATCCAAGTTCGACTCATGTTTAAAAACATTGCAATTTTAGTACAATTTATTGCATTTTTAACGAATTTGTCCAAGAATAAAATTTAAGCGAAACAGGCAAAATTAACATGTTTTAGAACGGATATGCTTATTTATCTCGAAAACGGTTGTTTTCGCGAACAAAATTGAAACGCAAAAAACCCTCTAAATTGAACTAGCCACCCAATTTGCTAACTGGAAGATGTCAGAGGCGTACTACGAAAAAATTTGGGGGGGATAAAGAAACCTCAACCCCCA